TCTTGTAGATCATCTCCATTTTCAGTTGAAACCATGATCTTAGGTAAAGCAGTCTTAAACTAAACCATAAGGAATTCTAAGTGAAAAGACAAATATTTTACATGGGCTATAGTGTGACAATGGGGAAATCACTGTCCTTTAGAAAATAGGGATGAGAATGTGAGACATTAATGAGAACTACTTTGTCAGTGACTCCAGGTCCATAGGGTCCCATTATTCTTTTTTCATCCTTTATGGAAAATTGATGGAGGAGAATTTAATAGTGATGCTTTGTAGTAGTTGGGACAATACCCTGGGAATGGAGCTTCCAGTGGATCAGGTCCTCCTATTACACCATCCATCTGAATAAGTTCTTTAGTGGAGAAATCAGATGGTAGAGATGAAAATACAGCCTGGAACTACAGACAGTAAAAGCCATTTGTATAATTCATTGATAAATAGGTACAAGAGATGGAGAAGAGTAGAAGCTTAGGAAAGACCTGGTAATATTGGCAAGAAAAAAATGGGCAGGACAGATCAAATAGTCATTGGATTTCTGAGTGGAACTGATAGCATAGACATAATTCTATCTGGAAGAAATTTTGGCAGTAAAATCCTTTATATGCTGCTGATGTGAACTTTTATGAAGACATTCATCTTAACTTTATCTGTTAAATGTCCAGTGTGGAACTACATTAATTCTTTTTGGAAAGAAAGCCTAAATAGATAAACTATTAGAATTTGTGAAATATGGGTATCTGAGAACTTATTTTTATCTTTCCTTTTGCACATCCTGTCAGATAAATAATCTTGCTAAATGGTGATTTTATAAAATCAGATTTGACCTGTTTGAAGTCTAGGAATGCAGTCATCATGCACCTAAGATGTAATGCTCAGGGGTCCTATTCAAAGATAGGCACCTGTTCCTGATTAAGGAGGACAAAAGCTGTGTCTGGAAGCACAGAGCCAGTGCACCCTCATCACAGAAACACTCCCTGGGAGTGTTATTCACACTGGAGGGGACCTTGAGCATCCAGTAGAATCGTGGGTTCAGTTTCCTGCCAGGGATTTTTAGATGTTTTGCTTTGGTTTTTGTTTTTTAAGAATGAATTGTCTTAAGGAACTTAGACTTACTGAGTGACTGTAGTGTGCATCTTACCATGCAAGGGACTTTATATTATTTTGTCTTTATAACAGTTGAAGTCTAGGAATGCATTCATCATCCCCTGAGTATCATCCCCTTTTCAAAGATGTAGAAAGTGAATTTCAGTCCTTAAAGTCCACAGTCCATGGCTAGACACCAGTAGACCTATTATTTGAACCCATGAATATCCTATTTTAAATCAGTGCTTCTTCTGGTACCCTACATATGTCTTCTCTTTTAAAACTCATATTATGGAAAATATCAAACATACACTATATTTGCAAGAAGAGATAATAGTATAATGAATCCCTATGAACCTCTAAGCCAGCTTCAAATGATTATCAACTCTTAAGTAAGCTTGTTCATCTGTATCCCAACTCCTCACCCCTGCATGGCGTTTTGAGGCAAATCTCAAACGCCATATCATTCCTTCTAAATATTCAGTACTTTATCTCTTAAAAGTAAGGACCTATAATAGTGCAAGCATGATACCACTCTTGCGCCTAAATAATAATTATAGTCTCTTATTATTATCAAATATCCAGTCCTTATTCAAATTTCTGATAATTTCACAGTGGTCACTTTTATTTATGGTTTGGACAAATCAGGACCTAAATAAGATTCACAAGTCTCTTGTCATTGTAACTTTTTACTTTGTTTTTTAACTTTTCATTTTGAAACAATTTAAAATTTACAGGAAAGTTACAAACAATATCAAGAACCTCTGCATATTCACTCCATCCCACAATTATTAGCTTTATGCTCTGTGTGCTTTCTTATTCTCATTCTCCTTGACAGTGTGGACGTGGTGTGATGCCTCATCACCTTGTAGTATTTCCACATGCATGCTAAAAGTAAGGACAGTCTCCTTCCTAAGCACAGTGTGCTCATGATAGTAAAATAACTGTCTGATCCACACATTTTGTTCCAGTCGTGCCGTTGCCCTAATATGCATAAGCCAACACAGCAATGAAGTCTTCTCTACCACTTGCCCTTTCAGTGGAGGATGTCTGTCACATCTTCTTATCTGCTTCAATCTGGAACAGTCACTTAGTCTTTATTGTGTCTTTCACAGCCTTGACATTTTTGAAGAGTAAATGTCACTTACTTTATTGAATGTCCTCAGTTTGGGTTTATCTGCTGTTTCCTTATGATTAGATACTGGCTTCACATCTTTGTCAGGAAAACTGTAGGAAGCAATTGTGAATTCTCAGTGCACCGAAATCTGGTGGTTTACAATTTTGGTTGGTCCCGTTACAGGTGAGGTTAACTTTTTTTTTAACTCAGCTTTTGTCACTTATTTATGGTCATGTTTGTCAGGCTTTTCTGCTGTAAAGTAAAAAAATATTTTGTATTCATTAACTAATAAGCATGTTAGGGGAGAGATTCTGGAACTCTGTTCTGTTGTCATCAAACTTCTGCCTGCTGGTTTTAGTACATTATAAATATGGCCAGATGGTGATTTTCTAATTCCATCATTTCTTCTGTGTTTATTAGTCGACCCTCTATCATAAGGTAGAATTGTCACTTCTCCCCCATTGGTTTACTTATTTTGTTCTTTATGGACTCACAGATGCCTGTTTTACTCAGTGAGTTACACTCCCTTCCTAATATTACTTATCTTGATGTTTAGCTTGTCTGAGTAGGCCAGTGGGGCCTTGTACAACTGGTTGCTATATCCTTTTCACATGTCCCCATCATTCTTTGAGTGCTTTATTTATGACATAAAAGATGTTCTGGCTCATGTTGCACTTTACTTCTCCTACCCCTAGAATCAGCCATTTTGTCAAGAAGCCCTAGCTGATTTAAGTGAAGAATGTTATTTAATGTGAAATTTAGGCCTTAGCTGCTGGATAGTAGTTTCCTTTTAGGACCTTTCAGTGGACAGAACTAAGAAACGTGCAGCCATATATGCATACATGCACATTTATGTCTATTCCTGTATCTGTTTGTATAGCTGAAAACTGTGAAGTCCTGCTGATACTTTCATTCCTAATCCAGTACCATGTATCCTATCCTAGCCTTTCTCTTTCCTGTATTTATGTCTTCCATCTCATGCAGTGAGAATCCTGGTACCAGTTACCCTCAATATATTTACTTAGTTGTTCTTCCTCCCTGTATATGAGTGGTCCCCAAGATGGGTTGCCTTTTTGGCCCAGGCCCTGTTGGCCTCAGCCATGCAGGTATTTCCTTGGCCCTCATGCTGCAGGCTTGGGCTGGACCAGAGTCTCCCCACCCTGGTGCAGGTATGGAGTCTGTCCCCCCCACTCCCGGTGGTGCAGTGACTCACATGAATGCAGCCCGAGAGTAGGATTCATTCATGCTTAGTAAGTGTCTCTGTTGTGATTCAAGGCTGTTTGTAAGGAATGGATAGCAAGGAAGAGAAAAGAGAACTGAGGGTGAGATTTAGGTCAGAATCAGGATGGCAGAGTAAGTTCTAGCCACAGTCCCCTAAGTGAAGGACTATTAATGTCTATACATTCAGGAGACACTTTTTGTTGGCTCTCTTTTAAAGGACTGGAGTACAGTAGAGTCAGGAAGTACAATTGCTTCTGGGTCTGGGAAGGGTAGTTCTGGAGTTCTACTTAATGGCCAAAAGGGGTGTTTGGTATGTTTGGGTATCCATATATAGAAAAAAATTTGAGGTGATTTCAGAAGGATAGAAAAACTTTGTGCCCTTCCTTCCATCTCCATAAATCAGAAAAATTTTAAATGCTCATATACGTGTATCAAGACTTTCTTGTTCTTTGTACCTTATGTCATATTAGCTATTTCTTGGATGAAAATCAGCCTTGTTCATGTATAAATGGTAACTTGAGATACTTGAGAGCATAATGATAATGCTGTAAATTGTGGGATATAACAGGATGTGGGCCCCCTCACCCCCCAAAAAACAAACCCTAAAACCCTTGTCAGGTAGGTGCCACCGTTTTCCTCCTGTGCCTTTTGTCATAGTGATAAAAGAGGGTCAGAACTGAAAACAGATGGGAGAAGATATTGTATTATTTGTCTTAAAATCATTAGGGGAGAAAATATTCCTCTCTCTTGAGTCAAGCTTGGATCAGCATGGGATGATGCTGGGCCAGCTGTTTGAAGGCAGTAAAATACAGAGCTCTTCTAACTGGGCTGTTACTCTGTTCTGTGAAATTAGTCTATCACTCCAAAGAGCCATGCCTTTGGAAAAAGGTCTCCTGATGATAGGCCCCATGTGGGAATGAAGCCAAGTTTGCAAGCAGGAAATAGAGAATTAACCAGTTGAATTAATCTAGTAGTTTTCGTCATTTGAGTAATAGCAGTGGCTCTTATAAGGAATATTACTGCTGCTAAACTGTAGTCCAAAATCCAGACCTAGCATCACAAAGTAGCATAGGATTCCAGTCAAGCAAAGTAACCAGTATAGATGAACATATTTGGATATTAAGTACATTTTTTAAACTACACATTTCTCTACCATTCTATCTTCCTTTAATAAAGCAGTCTTGGTTTCTACAAGGGGATGACCTACTGGGTGGATAATTAAGGCAAAGCCTAGAATTTATATCCCCTGTAAGCAGTTGAAGTACGATGTTAAGACCAGAAGGTCTGATTGTTGTTCTGAAGTTTTCCATGAAGGCAGAAAGTAATTGTTATAAATACATCACTATTGTTATACATCCTCAGGGATGTAAGAATTATAAAGTAAAAGTATAGTAACGAAGTATGTCATGTTACCATGAAGTAAATGGCCAAAGCAGTACGTGTTCTTCCCCAGTTTCTGATTCTGAGCATCTATGTTTTGCTTAATCCTGACATCAAGCTTTATCCTTAATACTAAACATTACTTTTGGAAGGTAATCTGGTAGGGTTGTAAGTCTCAACTTGGAAATTCTCTTTTCAGATGCTGTCTTTGCATTTCAATTACGCAACCCGGTGCACAACGGCCATGCTCTGTTAATGCAGGATACCCACAAGCAGCTTCTTGAGAGGGGCTACCGGCGCCCTGTACTACTTCTTCACCCTCTTGGTGGCTGGACGAAAGATGACGATGTCCCTTTGGTGTGGCGCATGAAGCAGCACACTGCAGTGCTGGAGGAAGGGGTCCTGAATCCTGAAACAACGGTGGTGGCCATCTTCCCGTCTCCCATGATGTATGCTGGACCAACTGAGGTAGGCTGCTTTGAATATTTTCACTGTGGCTGTGTTGAAACCACTTTTACAAACACAGCTAATGTCAGCAATAGACCTGTCTACTGAGTTTTCTCGGAGCTGTAGGTCTGTTCCATACATATGGCATCCCTGGAGTACTCTCCAGCCCTGTCGGGGCTGTTCTCCAGAGGTGGCTCCAGGCGGCAGCCTTCCAGGAACAGGAGCACAGGGAGAGGTTTCTCTTGCTTTTATTGTGGCTCTTGGTCCCAGTTTTGTTAAAGAGGGAACATATCTGCAGATAGAGAGCTGGGTGAGCTTGGGAAGCTGTGGCACGGGTCCTCCTGTAACTACTGGCCATGTCACAGACACAGCTGTGACAGCAGTCATCTTACGCCTTTAACACAGTCCTAGGTCACTCTTCCCAGGGAACAGATTTGATCTGATTTTTGCTTCTTCTGAATTTTGGAAAGGCCAAAGGTATTTCAGTGGGAAGAAAAACATGTTATCTTTTAAAAAATGTTCAGAAGACATTCCTCATCTAGTCTTTCATGAAGGACTGGAGCATAATAAAGTGAGGAATAAAATTGCTTCTTGAGTTGGGTGGGGGAGGGTGGATTTCTATTTTTTGATCAAAAGGGATGTTCTGAGATCTTTTTATAACCATATATAAAGAAGAGGACTTAATTAGGTTTTTGCTCAAAGGCAGAATAATAGGCTTTCAAAAATACTTGTTGAATGAATGAATAAATCAGTGAATGACCTAGATAAAAACAGTGTGTGGAAAATTCCTGGCCAGCTTCTTGTTGAGTTTTCGAGATAAAGAATGGAATGCAGGTTATCATTGGATTCTCATTCATTCCTGCCATGAAGGGAGCTGAATTTAGCTGAATTAGAGTTGTTGGGAAGCAAATCCTTTTAAAAATGGTCTAAATAATTTAGTTGTATATATTTTGTGATGTCATCCCCCAGAAGAAAAAGTTTAAAAAAGAAATCCAAACATATTTGCCTATTCTTTGGGATTGAGCCTAAACATTTCTACTGGAGTGTCGCTGTGGAGTTGTACACTGTGACCTCTTTATCCAAGAAAAACAAACAACAACCAGGTGGAGTTGTACACTGTGACCTCTTTATCCAAGAAAAACAAACAACAACCTACAAAATTAAAATATATTTGACTCTCCTGGACACAGCCTAAATCATGCACTGAAAATGTCCACAGCAGGTAAAACTGCTCATATTCTTTCCTCTGTTGATATAAAATGTTCATAAGATTCAGGCAGTGGTGGCCCTTTGAGTTGTCTAGAGACCACCATGACCTTTTGGAGATAAAGTAACAATTGTGTTCCCATAAGTCCAGCCTCTTTTGATGTTGTGGTTGTCATCATTACTGTTTTAACGTCGTTTGGTGTGACGTTCTCTGTAATCATAGAATGAATGGTTTCCAATGTGGAAATGGCTCCAAGTGAGTGTAGGCTCAGAAATGGACTTATGACTGATAACCTCATTGAACCACCTAGGAAAGGGAAGGATTTTACCTTCTCTGTTTCCCCATTTGGGACATCCTGTGTCTTTTTTTTTTTTTTTTGGCTTTGTGTTTCTTACTCCTTTTTAAAATGGGAAGAGAGATGAAATTTTGCTAACTAAAAAAATGAAAAACTGCTTTTAAAAAGTTGGGAATGAGAGGGTGGATAAATAATAAAAATAGCTAGCCATAGAAAACAGGAAATAGTTTCTTCAGAGGACATCACAAAGGGTCAAGTGTGCTGTTTTATCTACACTGGAAAGATTTCTGTGTGTTCTGATTTCAGTGCCAGGTGTGTTTCTTATGAAAGATTCGATCATAAAGGTACCTAAAGGTGCCTTGGGCACTTACATGCTAACCTCCTTCCGAGCTCTGCATTCAGGGCAAAGCTGGCAAGTTGGAAAGCTGGCTGCAGCAGACCCTTCCTGGGCCTCAGGTCCACTGCCATTGCTGCCCACAGTCTGATAAAAACAATGCAAGACTATTGCTGAGAGCCCTCCCATGGTGCTGGGCCTGGTTTGTCAACAGCTGTGATTTTTAGTCTCAGACCTCTCTGGGCTGTGTTTAAATGCACAGTAAATGGTTGTTTAAAGGATGCACAAGGTGGTGGAACTAAATGTTCTTTAAGGTTTTGTCCCATTCTGATTGTTTTCTAATTGTCTTATTTTCTTTTAATTTCTTATTGAAGTATAATATAATAGGAAAAAGCACATTTTGTAGGTGCACAGGTAAATGGATTTTTCCCATTTGAACAAAGTCAGACAACTGACCCACACAGATTTTTTAAAAGGCCATTTATCAGCATCTGGGGGCTCTCCCTCCTGCCCCTTCTGTGCACAACCTGCCCTCCCCCCCCCACCATCACCACCATCCTTGCTTCTGTCATGGATCCAGTTTGCTTGTGTTGAAGTTTGGATCCTCTGGGAAGTAGACTCTGAGAGTGAGATTAGGGCTCAGGGAATCATTAGGACGAACCCTTGGGATCAACGCTGTGGAAGAGAAGAGATGGTAGGGGAACGGGAGCAGGACTGGGCAGAGGGAGAAGCTGGGCTGCAGTTCAGCCTCAGTGGAAGCCTTGTGACCCCGAGTGGAGTTCTGGAATAGCCCCTCCGAGGGATGGTCCAAGTTCACAGTAAACAAGCGTGTCTAGTCCTGTGCCCAGGGAGTGAGCAGGCCTTTGGCGGCTGCTGCTCTTCTCTGCGGAGGCAGTTTCTAAGGAGGCCTGACAGCTGCCGGCTGTGTGCCGGCAGCCCTCCTGGGAGCCGGGGGTAGTCCTTCCTTCCTGAGGGGGCCTGAGCATACATCACAGCATCTAGTCCTGCCTGTCCTAATACTGTTCATAACTGAAATCATATGCATATACTCTTGTGTCTGCTTCTCTGACTTTACATTGTGTGTGTGAAACAGCCTTGTGTGTAGGTAGTTGTAGGTTGGTTGTCCTTGGTCCTGTGGACACTCCATCGTGTGATGACACCCAGTACTGAGGGGCATTTGGGCAGCCCCTGTTTTGTACTGCAATTAAGAATAGTGCTGGTGTGGAGGTGTTTGGGCGTGCCTTTTCATGGGCATTTCTGTTGGTTATGCGCCTAGAACAGCTGGGTCTTGTATGCATCTGTTCAGCTCTAGGAGATGCTGCCAGGCAGTTTTCCAGTGTGGTTGTAACATTTGACACTCTTATCATCAGTGTATTGCCTCGCGTATACTAAGTTATATTTTTCATTTTAGCCAGTTTGGTCCTTTAGCCCTGTTTAGTTAAGCATTCATTGATACTTTCACTGTTTCTTAGCCAACCTCAAGAATTTTTTCATTGAACCAGTTTCACTGAAGAGGAAACTGAGAAGTGGTAAATGAGTTGTGTATATGTACAATGAGTAAGAATATAATAGCCATTTTTATTGAGATCTTAGTGTATTTGCCAGGCAATATTCCAAATCCCTTATATGAATTAGCTAACTCAATCCTTAGAAAAACACTAAGAAGTTAGATACTATGATTATTCTCAATTTACAGGTGAGGAAGCTGAGGTAGAAAGGTTAAAACTTGTTCAAAATCACATAGTAGTGTATAGGTGGCTCCAGAACCATTGAGATCATTAGAATGTTTTTATCTTATAAAAAAGTATGTGGCCACATACATTTTGAAAACAGACTGGAAATAAACTTTTTAAATATCCTAAAGGAGTTCCTATAAAATAGTTAGGATGGCCCTGGCTGTCTTCATCAGGCGTGGAGTCTCTAGCACAATAACTTTCAAAGTTATTTTTTGGTTATTGTAGCCTAGTTTTGTAGGTTGTGATCTAATTTGTTTGATCTGTATTCTTAACTCTTTGTATTATTATGATACCTGCCTCATAGTATTAGTAATATTTGCCTATGTTTTTGTTGTTGTTAGGAGTGAATGGGATACACATTGTCTAGCTCATGACAGTACATGATAATGAATCTCAAAACAAAAACTACTTAAAAAAACAAAAACTACTTAGCTGCAAGTTCTCAACATCCCTAGGATTCTGTCCCTTTTTCAAGGGAGCGGTGTATACCTTAAGGCTGTTTGTCAATCTGTATAAAGGATTTTGACTGTGGCAGAGACCGAGATGACCTTCTCCCTAATAGACTCCCTAATAGACTTCATGTCAGAGCATGTCTCTGATTTGGAATGTCCTTTAGTATTTGACAGTATAAGCTAATATAAAGAATATGACAATAATAATATAAAGACAATGAAAATAGGCATTTTTGGCTCTGTGTCTATCACTGAATGGATACTTTGCATATATGATATAATCTAATCCTCATAGCAGCTTGGTGAGTTGGATTTTATTCACATTTTACAGATAAGATTACTGAGGCTCAGTGGCCAACTAACTTAACTGGGGTCTGTCAAGGAACATGAGAGCTGGAAAGTAGGTAGAGCAGTAAAAACAGACTTTATTCAGGAACTGGGAATAATAATAGGGGAAGCCCCTCCAAACAGAACTGGACTCAATTCTGAATATAGTATAGACAAGTCAGGATTTGTAGCCAAGGAGCAGAGGGAGTGGGGTTGGTTAGGGGATAGACAATTACTTTGAAGTAACATCAGAAATCATGGGTTGGTTTAATAGACCTAGCAGGATTTACTGAAGGCAGGCCAGCCCCGTCAAATACCACTTGGAAGATGAAGAATTTGATCAGATATTGAGGATGGGAGTTCTTGTTAAACTGAGCAGGGGTTTTGCTCCAACTGGGTGGTGCAGGCCCTACAGGGATGGACCCTGAAGGCTGAGGCCTAGAGGGATTGCAGGAGCCCAGGTAGTGTTAGGTAAAGGAAAGAGTCTTTGTCAGATCTTACAATCAGCAAGACACAGAGCGGGACTGGAACTCAGGCCTGGCTCAGTGACCCGCATGTTCTTCTCACCAGGGTTCCTTGCTCCCTGGATGCCCCTGTGGGGCCTGTGTGCTGGTAGTCTGTGGGAGGGCAAAGGAGGTAGGCATCCTAGCTGCCTAGGCCCAGCTCCCAG